ACCCATAGAAAAGAAAAATGGGAGTAAATAGCTTTTAAAAAGGCAATCAACCAGTTTCCTACATTTGGTGGTTTGTTATTCTAAAAGGTGCTTGGTTGATAAGACTATGCTTTCAAATTGTGTTGAAACTGATCACCAAGCTTCTCAATTAATTACCATAATTGAATACTTTGAAATGAAAATTAATAATACACACAGTGAGACAATAGAATGCTTCTTCTATTACTGATCTTGGCTGTTAGCCCGAAGCACTTCACATTTTTTTCTAGTTGCACAATAAAATCCCTTTTAGATTTTAAAATAAACACAATAAAGGCAAAACACATGTACACACATGCAGCATGTAAGGAAAAAAATGAGTCAACTCAAGTGATATAGGACATAATACCACTGTTTTCTCCAGTAACAATGCTATTTTTTGAAGGCTAATCATAAAAAATAAACAATTTAGAGAAATGCAATAAAACCCACATATTAAGGCAACCCAAATTCTAACTTCAGAGTTGCAAAAGACAACTCACACACATATACAATGGCTGTTCTGAGTAAGAATCAGTATTCACAACATTGCTATTCATTATAATTATAATAATTATAAACATTATTCACAATAAGCTAATCACTATAATTACATTACAAAACACTAGCATTCAAAGACAATACCAACAATATCCAAATCACAGTGGTATGAAGGGCATCTAGGCATCTTGATAAAACTACAGTAGAATCCAATGCAGGACTAATAAGAAATGAGACTAAAAATATAGGCAAGAGCCGAGTCACAAAATGCCTGCAATCTTAGATTTCTATCCTATCATGTCATGCCTTTCAAAATGAGTTCTGAGTACTTCATGGTAATATAGGAATATAAACAACCATAGGATAAATATGGTGCATCTTCTGTAAGTCTCAAATTTATGGAGAAAAAATTTGGAGAGGAGTTAAACAAGTTTAAGTCACTGTTTTTTTTATTAAGTCCCATTTTACTAGAACATAAAATTATGTGTTGTTTTTCCGACAGAATATGAATCTTAAAGCAATTTCGTTCTTGCAGAAAGCTAATCCAGGTTCACTATTCCTTACGCTTTAAGCAAAAGAGACAAATTGATGGAACAATTTCAGAAAAAGTTTGAGAAGCGGTGCCAAGAATGTGAAGTCAAAGGATTTTTTGTTTGTGTTTTAAAGCAGGAGTGTGACATCAGATGTGTGCTTGGAGAAGCTCTCTGGCAGCTGTAAGCAGGATGGGCTAAAACGTAAGAGACAGGCCATAATGAGGGTAGCTGACAAACAAAACATCTGTAATAGTCTGTTTAAGAGATGAAAAGGACATGAACCAAAGTTGAGGCTACGAGAACACAGAGGAAGATTCCAGAGAGCAGAGGAAGCTGACAAGATAGCGCCTAATTGACTGCACCTAATCAATGAGACAGCTTTTAAGAACTTATTAGATAAAGGTGTTCATTTTCTTTTTTTTTATAGCTAGTATTTCTGTAAGGTTTCTGATATATGTATCTTTAAAAGCTCCCACTTAAAAATACTTTCAGTGTGCCTTTCAATCACAGGAAGTGTAAAGTTGTGAGATGCTACTGTAAATCTGTCATACCAAAAAATTAAACAAAATTTGAGTAAGGTTTATAAAAACTACATTTAATAAAGGCAATACCCATATTTCAAAAAGTTAAATTATCCTACTAATCAGTTACCATTATAGCTTTTCTGTAGCTTTACTACTCAGTATGAGAACTAGAGTTAGGAATGGCTTTGATCCTTCGTGATATTCTAGAATAAATGAGTGAATAAACATAGATTCTTCTAGAGAAGAACATGAAATTGATTATTTAAAATATCTGATTACTTAATAACTAAACAAAAAGTAATAACTTTTTAAAAAATCATTATTAGTCAGTTCATAAGAGGTAAATATATAGTTTAGCCAGGTGATACTGGCTAAAAGGCACCAAATAAAATTATAGTTAAACCTTCATTAGTAAGCTGACAATAAAATGCAGCCACTAAAAATATGAGACTAAAAATATAGGCAAGAGCCAAGTCACAAAATGCCTACAATCTTAGATTTCTATCCTATCATGTCAGAAAAAGGAGACATTAGAATTGTTAAGGTAAAAGATAAAATACCAAAATCCTTGCAGAATATATTCATGAAAATATTACAACTTAAGAAAAAGTAGATGAAATAAATATTAATTTTATTGGACCAATAAAAAATAGCAATTCTCAATCTAAAGAATCTAAAGAAAAGACTATTTTCATTGCTTTTACTAGTAGAAACTAGAATATTTTGGTCTATTCTACTTATTTATGTAACACAGATCACTGATAGCTGTAATATGATTTTGATCAGAAAACTAGGAAAGGTGTAAGTACAAAAGATGATGGAAAAATAAACACTTCTCAAAAATATTGTTTGTAATCAAACACTGCTCTGTTTAGATTTTAAAACTACATATCAGAAATATTAAAATAATTACAGAAAAATATGCTAGGACAAGTCCAGATAAGCCTCTAAGACAGCGGTTCTCAACCTTGGCTGCACATTAGAGTCACCTGGGAATCTTTTTAAAATCCTGATTTCTGGGCCTCATCCTCCGGAAATTCTGTTTCTTGTTATGGGTGGGCCACAACATTAGTAACAAAGAAACAGAATTTCCAGAGGATGAGGCCCAGAAATCAGGATTTTAAAAAGATTCCCAGGTGATTCTAATGTGCAGCCAAGGTTGAGAACCACTGCTCTATGACCTAACAACTTTTTTTTTTTTGGCTTTTAGATGAAACTTCAGCTCTCAAAAAAAAACAAAAAAGAAACATGGCATAAGAATTTAACTTAACATAAAAATGTAAGATTCTGTCATAGTTGGTTTGGCTCAGTGGATACACTTCAGCCTGTGGACTGAAGGGTCCCGGGTTCCATTCCGGTTAAGGGCACATGCCCGGTTTGCGGGCTCGATCCCCAGTGTGAGGCGTGCAGGAGGCAGCCAATCAATGATTCTCTCTCATCACTGATGTTTCTGTCTCTCTTTCCTTGTCCCTTCCTCTCTCCGGAATCAATAAAAGATTGGCAGTAAAAGACTCATCTAGACACAGAGATCTTATACCAATTTTATTCCATAGTTTATGCTTTGCTACCTTAGAGAAAATCCTAAGATTTAGGCTAAACATAAGTTCATAACAGAGAAGGAATATCTCAAAAATACAAATCAGTGTAATTCTTATAAAACTTCTCTCCATCACAGCCACCAGGTAATTAAAATTGTTCCTTTTATTAGACCCTTTGATCTATTTTTTCATGTCTCTTGCAAAGAGAAATGAGAAAGATACCAACAACAAAGCAAGATTAGATAGGACTGTCTAAAATTTGGGGTCTAAATATTTTCAGAATGCAAGGACATGTGATAAAAAGAGATGACATTCTACAAAGGAAATCAAGATACTTCACCATCTCTCTTCTCCTAGTTTATCTACACACACAGCTGCTAGTTCTTCGATTTGCTTTTTTAAAAATGCTATCTGCCTCATCCATGCCTCCCTCTTTCTGAGCTCCCTTGCTCTCCTCTATTTGCATGAGGAGAAGAAGGGTGCCTCTATGAAGTCAGTCCATTACAGGTGCCCTTAAGGTCGCTTCACAAAACATTACCTGTCTGATAGTAAGTGGACAATGATAGAATATTTGAAAGGGATGAGATACAAGGCTGAAAGACTTTTTTTTTTTTACCTTGCTTTTTGAAACAAAATGACCCCTCATGCATGTGGGTTACAAGGTTATATACTCACATTTATTATGAGTGGCTGTGGAAGGTCTAATCACATAGTGACGAGGCACTAATCTTACTATTTCATGGATCCTGAAAGAACTGCCCTGCAATTATCAACAGCCAGCTCACTTGCAATTCCATGCGTCCAGGTACAGGTGGAACTACACGAAATCTGCAACTACCAGGACAGCCCACTCTCCCCATCCACACAAAATATATAAATTCAAGTAATACGTGAAATAGACAACTAAGAAACCCTAAAGAATCAAAGATATGATCTCTCGATCTCTCTCTCTCTCCTCTCTCTCTCTCTCTCTCTCTCGTAAAAAAAAAAAAATACATAGGTATACGTAAGCACAGGAAAAGAGAGAAGAACATCCCATGCTAACAGCGGTCATCTTTAAGTATCAGAAATATGAGTGATTTCAATTTCCCCACTTTTTGCTTCTCTGTATTTTCTTGCTTTCCTACAATGAGTATAACCTTGGCAAGCAAGAATGGGGGTAGTTAAATAAACGCAGAGCTTCGAACCGTAAAGCAACAGTTAATCTGGATCAAAGACAGAAAGTAGCCTGTCTTTAAGCTTCCTCCGAGTCACTGAGGGATAAATCCTCCAGTACTTGGCATGCAGAAGACGGATGCGCAAGGCTCCCCAAGACCGAGTGATAACCTCTCCATTCCTTGGCCTTCAACTGAAGGGACAGAGTTGGTCTATATACAAACTTGGTCAAGTGCTTCTGCAACAAGAAAGCTCCCTCCTCGCGCTCTCGCGCGCCCTCCCCCCATGGCACACCCAAGTCCCGAGGACCCCAGGCGGGACCTCCGCCCCTCTCAAGGTGCTCCCGAAGACTTGGCACCCCCTAACTGAGCTCCATAGCTTCCCTCCACTCTCCTTCAACCACTTGTCCCCCTCCCCAGCCCCCCCAGACACACCCAAGGGGCCATAGGGGAAGGAGAAAGCCAACCTGACTTGCAGGCAGACGCCCCCGATTCCCGTGACCTTGGACAAAGCCGCATCGCCTCTCGGAGCCTCAGTTTCCAAATCTGCCACCCTCGCAGGGTGACCTCAGGCTCAGAAGAAACCCGGGGGAGGGGGTGCAAACTCGACGGACCGTTCTCGTAACTCTATACCGACCCCCTCCTCCCCTGACCTCTCCAAGGCGCCGGGCACCAACCTGGACCCCTGTCCGCGGCCCCCGGGACGGGTCGCCTCCCAGTCCGTCCCCGTACCTGGCAGTTGCTGTCCTGGGGCAGGTTTTTCACCAGGATTTTTCCTGCGGTTTACTTCAGTTCCCGGGGGCATCCGGCTGGAAGCCGGCGCGGGCCACCCTCCTCCGGG